ATTCTATTCTATTCTATTCTATTCTATTCTATTCTATTCTATTCTATTCTATAATATTCTATTCTACTCTACTCTACTCTACTCTACTCTACTCTACTCTACTCTATTCTATTCTATTCTAAATAACTCCAACCACCTGCGTGGTCAGTGGTAATAAATATTAGGAGCTGTGGTGCAACACCTCTTAGAGGGCCATAGGTTCCCCCCTGTTGGTTTAGTCTACCATGTTTCATAATACATGAGATCAAATTGTCATTCTCTTGTTTGAGAATGAGAGAAGAAGTCAACGATTCTCTTACCTTAACCACAAGGATGGGCCCTACTACATTGGTGTTGAAAGCAGACAGCATCTCTTGCTGCTCCACAGTTTCCAGAGTGGCATAGGAGTTCACACCGGCATTATTGATCAGCAGGTTTAAGCCTTTACCATGTAGAAGCAACTCAACCGCCGAAGCAGCTGCCTTCACACTGGATTGATCCTCCACCTCTTCCAGGGACATATGAAAAAAATGAGATCCTTATCAGACAAGCCAAAAGCAGATGTGGGGCCTAGTCGATTGTGGGTCAGCAATTGGGAAGGAACCAAATTTCAGTTGCCCCAGCTGGTACCTACATGACATTTTGTACAGGCGGTCCTCAACTTACAGCCATTTGTTTAGTGGCCATTCAAAGTTACAACGGCACCGAAAAAAGTAACTTAGGACCATTTTTCACACTTATGACCATTATGGCATCCACATGGTCACTTGATCAACATTCAGATGCTTGCCAACTGACTCATAGTTATGACAGTTGCAATGTCCTGGGGTCATGTGTTCACTTTTTGCAGACTTCTGACAAGCAGTCAATGGGAAAACCAGATTCACTTAACAACTGTGTTACCCACTTAAAACTGCAGTTATTCCCTCAACAACCATGTTAAGAATGGTCATAGAATGGGGCAAAACTGACAACAACTATCTTGATTAGCAATGGAAATTTTAGGCTTGCAAAGATTATCTTTATTGAGATACAAATATTTAAAAGCTAAAATAAACATACGGCATGGTCAAACTGTCCATAGTCCATGCAGATTTCCCAATGGATTTTAAAATTGTAACAGAAAAAAAAAAGCCAGGTGGCTCTCATACCCAGCTGGATGATGTGAATGTTGGAATGCTTGCTAGCGAGATCATTCAAGGTCTGGAATTAAAAAGAAGAAGTCAAGAGAAGAGAAGAAGATCCAAGGAGCGATGGAAAACATTTGCTTCCTATCCTTGGGTCAGATGTGGTATTAGAATAGAATAGAATAGAATAGAATAGAATAAGAATAGAATAGAATAGAATAGAATAGAATAAGAATAAAATAGAATAGAATAGAATAGAATAGAATAGAATAGAATAAGAATAGAATAAGAATAGAATAAGAATAGAATAAGAATAGAATAATAGAATAAGAATAGAATAGAATAGAATAGAATAAGAATAGAATAAGAATAGAATAAGAATAGAATAGAATAAGAATAGAATAGAATAGAATAAGAATAGAATAAGAATAGAATAATAGAATAAGAATAGAATAGAATAGAATAGAATAGAATAGAATAGAATAGAATAGAATAGAATACTTTTATTGGCCAAGTGTGATTGGACACACAAGGAATTTGTCTTGGTGTAAATACTCTCAGTGTACATAAAAAAGATACATTCGTTAAGAAGAATCATAACGTACAACACTTAATGATAGTCATAGGGTACAATCAACAATCAAATCATATTAGGAAACAGTCAATATAAATCGTAAGGATACAAGCAACAAAGTTACAGTCCTACAATCACAGGTGGGAGGGGAGGGGTGATAAGGAGTGATGAGAAGATTAACAGTAATAGTAATGCACACTTCGTAAATAGTTGAACAGTGTTGAGGGAATTATTTGTTTAGCAGAGTGATAGCTTTCGGGGGAAAACTATCCTTGTGTCTAGTTGTTCTGGTGTGCAGTGCTCTATAGCGTTGTTTTGAGGGAAGGAGTTGAAACAGTTTATGTCTGGGATGTGAGGGGTATTCAGCAGGTTCTAACCAGTTCTGGAGAACCAGTAACGAAAATTTTGAGTAGTTTGGAGAACGGCAAATATCACCTTTGACTGGAGATTTTACAGTATCCTTTCCCTGCCACGGCCACCAAACCAGTAGTAAAAAAATGTGAATCCCAGCACTGCCTTGGGTCCTATGGAACTTTCTCCCAAGCCATTCTAATTGTTCTTTGATCTCTTTTACTTAAACAGGACTGTTTTTTAAAAAATAATTTTCATGAAAAGGGTTTTCAGCAAAAAAATAAATTTTGAACTGAAGATAAAGAGGAACAGGGAAAAGAATGAGAAAGTAAAAAAGAAATAAAGTAAAAGAAGTTGAAAAGAAAATGCAAAACATAACCAAGAAGTGGCATCTGATCTTAACAGCAGCTATACGTACACTTTTATTTTACCTTCTAAAAAGATTACATTGCAATTTCCTTCTTTTCACAAACTATCCTTTTTATCCTTTTTATTCAAATCCATAAATCACCAGTTCATTTCTTTTTCTTTTCTTTGTTCAGCAAAAAGTATTAAAAAGTTTAAAGCGGAACTGTATTTCTGGAAATAATTCATTCTGGATTACTATTAAAATTGTGCAAAAAAAAGTTTTATCTAGATTTTCTCTTTCTTGTCCTGTTCTGTATCTCATGTCAGTGATTTTAAAACAAGTCAAGACAGGCAAGCTTTGAAGAATGGCAAACCTTCTAATTTTGCTTTCTGGGTCATGTCTCCCTTCTAGGTAAGGTGTGGCTGGCAGCTGTATGGGATTCCCTGTTTCTGTGGGCCTAGAGCCCCCTGGATCACATTTGCTCATTGCAACCCATCATCTCAAGATAGCCAACACACCAAAAGCAATGCTTCAAAAATAATGACAGTGAAATTAGGTTGTCTTCCAATAGCCAGTGAACAAATTTTTATTCTGCCCAAGTTTTGGATCTGATCTTATTTCCTGTGCAACATTGCCCCATCTGAGTCACCAAAAAGTAATCCATTTTAGAGCTGTAGTTTGGTTAACGGTTTTGCTATTTCCATCGCTTCAGGTGTCTGTTCCACAGTAACTGCCAGCAAGACAGCACTACCCACACATGCTGTGTAGATGAATGCACCTTGCAGAATTATCTCTGTCAGGTGGCTCCTAAAAATATTACTGCTCGAGATTAAAAGCTAGGTAAATGCCTTGTTTCTTTCTTCTCTGGATTTTTAAGAAGTTTTCTTTTCTTTTCTTTTTTTATTAAGCTTTATACCTTACTTCTTTGGAGTGAAAAGTTGGTCTGTAGGTTCTGCTAACTTCTGTAGCTTTACTCCTCCAGCAATATTAAGGTAACTACAGACAATAGAGAAGCTACCTAACGAAGCTGCTTGGAGAGCAGCAGGAAATCTTCTCCCTGCTGTTCAATCACGATAACTTTCTACAAACCTTCCCTGGAGATCCAGTTGGGGTCCGGCAAGTTGCAAAGATATGTTCTGGAGGCTCAGCCATCTCCACCAGTTGTTGGATCAGTTCAAGTCCGATTCCCCGATTGGAACCGGTCACCAATATGCTACGAGCTAAGGGAGCCATCCTTTCCCCTGAACTTTTACTTTTTCCTACTGCCTGGACTTTGTTCAGTGGTTTAGTAACTGTAGTGTTAGGACTCAGGGAAGAGGTGTGTCTCCTGACACAATCTCTTCATTTGCCTGGGGCTGTGGCATGCAAATATTTCCCTGGGAAGAGCAGGTCTTAAGGCATTGTTTCGGTGACAGATCCTTCAATGGGGGTTTCAAGAGCACAGCAGGAAGAATTGCTGGGGAAAACAGGCCTGGCATGTTTTTGGGCCAATCCTTGACACTTGTCAAAGTTTGTAGCCTTTGGGAAAAGCATCTCCAAGGATGAGAAGAAATGTAATGCTCCTCCTGTCTGCTATCCACCCAATTTGCACACCCTTTGGGATGCTTCTGAACCAGTGATGGGATTCAAAATTTTGTTAGGACTGGTTCTTTGGGTGTGGCTTGGTGGGCATGGCAGGGGGAGGATACTGTAAAATCCAATCAGAGGTGGTATTTGCCCATTCTCTGAACTACTCAAAATTTCCACTACCGGTTCTCCAGAACTGGTCAGAACCTGCTGAATACCACCTCTGTTCTGAACCTTCCCCCTTAGGTCTGGATTCGCACAAATAAATCACAGAAATAAATGGCAACAGCAACCACTCCATGGGAGACAAACTTTTCCATATGTCATGCCCCTGTTGGAGTCTGATTCTGAGAGGTGGAATAGCTGACAGGGAGTGGGAGTGTGGCTCCGGTGGTTCTGGAGGAAACTGGGGAAGGGCACAGTCTGACTGGGCATTCAGAGGAAGACCCAGGTCCACCGCCTCTCCATCCTAGGGCAGGTAGGGAGGAACAGATAAGGGAGCAATGTGAGTTGCGTGGTTTACGGGGGAGGAAAGGGCCTTGATCCCCTTCATTGGCTGCAGCTGGGAAGACTGTTTAAAAGGGCAAACTGTGCATGGCAAAGTTGGTGGAAGCAAAGCATGAAATTAATCTGGTTTGTCACGTCTTATCTGAGTTCTGGCATCCTCCCAAGTGTGTGTGGTTCGTTATCTTTTGACATCTTCAATCCCTTATCCTGCCCTGTCTCCTTAATTGCTACAGTGCGGTTTGTGTTGGTTTTTACTTATAATTTATATATACTTTGAGTTCAGATGGAATTTCTTCCTTTTGAAAACTGTTTTTGGGAGATTTTTTTTTTATCCAGTTGATGATAACTGGACCTTGAGGGCCAAGTTGGAGGTATTAAAGGGATTTTACCTATTTTTGTGACTTGGTTGCTTTTGTGCCATGCCCTGGGTCATCACACCATATGTGGCACTTGGGATGAAAGGTGATGGCAAGATTTTCCATGACCAGGGTGTATTTATTGATAATGAACAACAGCGAAGCCGTCATTCTGTGTTTAGAGACAAGGTTCTTCCTGCAACAGAAACCAGAGGGAAGATTTCTCCTTTCATTTCACAAAGATCGGATTCTTTTCCCCAGCGATAAACTCAAGGAGCCTTATTCTGTTCACCAGATTATGTTTCTCCCCTCGTAATCCAGAAAAGTGCCAGATGATGATGAATCTAAGCCAGCGATGACCTTCACCAAACCTTTAGTACTGGTCTCCACTGTCACAGGGGCCTGTGGGAAAGGGAGAAGCTGGTTCTGCAAATTGGTTGACCTTCTTATTCTTATTCTTGTTGTTGTTATTTAAGATTTAATTTTCAATTCGATTCACATTCTGGGATTAGAAACCTGGTTGGATAACTTTGGGCCAATCATCAGGAGATGGTGAGTTCTAGTCCCCCCTTAGGCACGAAAGTAGTTGGGTGGCCTTTGGCCAATCATCAGGAGATGCTGAGATCTAGTCCTGCCTTGGGCATAAAAGCCACTTGGGCGACTAAATCAAACTGGTTCTCAATTACTACATTTCCAATTTTTTGAGAATAGTCATTATTCCCTCCCGCCACTTTATAGTACCTGTTCTGATCCCATGTCAGTTTTCACCCATCCAGGATGGAGCAGAACACATGCAATTCCACCTTTTTTCAGTTCCTATTGGGTGACCTTGGGCCAATCACCAGGAGATAGTGAGTTCTAGTCCCGCCTTAGGCACAAAAGTCCCTTGGGTGACCTTGGGCCAATCACCAGGAGATAGTGAGTTCTAGTCCTGCCTTAGGCACAAAAGTCCCTTGGGTGACCTTGGGCCAATCACCAGGAGATAGTGAGTTCTAACTGGCTCTCATTTACTACATTTTCAATTTTTTGAGAATATTTATTATCCACCCCACCCCCCCCCGCGTGCCACCTTATAGTACCACGTCTGTTCCCATTTCAGTCTTCACCCATCCAGGATGGAGCAGAACACATGTAATTCCATCTTTTTTCAGTTCCACCGCAAGGCAGGCATTGACCATGTTCAGTGCTGTCTGTTAAAACAAAACATGTTAGAACCTGAGGGAGAGGATAAAAAGAGGGTTCGGCCTAGAATCCCTACATAGCCACAAGTGAACTAAGCAACCCTTCTTGAGTGCTATGGACCCCTATTTAGACCCAAGCAGGTATTAACCTTAGGGTTTTTTTTTTAGAGTAAGGTTTTTTTAGATTAACAGTGTTGGAAGGGACCTTGTAGGTCATCTAGTCCAACCTCCCGCCCAAGCAGGAGACCCTACACCATTTCTGACAAAAGGCAGTCCAATCTCTTCTTGAAAGTCTCAAGTGATGAAAAGATTCCTGTTGAAAAGATTCCTGGGCGTAGCAACAGCAATAGCACTTAGACTTATATACCTCTAAGCTAATGACGTCTTTAACTCCACCCTCCAGTGCTGCCTGCTTTTCTCCTACAGTGTATGTATATCACACTGGTTAATAAAGTTAAATTATTGGAAAAATAGCACTAGCACTAGCACTTAGACTTATATACTACTTCCCACTGCTTTACAGCCCTCTCTAAGCAGTTTTTACAGAGTCAGCTTCTTGCCCCCAACAATCTGGGTCCTCATTTTACCCACCTCGGAAGGACGGAAGGCTGAGTCAACCCTGAGCCTGGTGGGATTCAAATTGCCAAAGTGCAGGCAGCTGGCAGTCAGCAGAAGTAGCCTGCAGTACTGCACTCTAACCACTGCGCCACCAAGACTCTGTAGGCATTTAGTAATAATTTAGTTTGCGATAGTGGAGAATATCTGTAACTCGGGTGTAGGATGAGAGTGAAGGTTCGTTCTCTGAGCTTGTGGGTTGGTTTCCTAACGTTTCATTACCAAACTAGGTAATATCTTCAGCAGAGTTTAGGGGATGTCCAGGTAGGTGTTCTGCTTATAAGGCCAAGTGGTCAATAGGTCTGTGATTGGGAGGTCACATCAGCTGAGGGTCATGTCGGGTAGATGTGGATCGCATCAAGTGAGGGTCTTGATTTGTGATGGGTCCTGTGTTGGAACTGACGACCCAAAGATGACCCACACCTGACCCATCCCAAGACCCATCAGAAGAACCTGAAATATTTCTATTAGGAATGGTTCCTGAGGGTGATAATAAAGAAAAGATTTATTTAATTTTAGATGTATTAACAGCAGCTAAAATTGTATTTGCTCAAAATTGGAAGAGGGATAAGATACCAATAAGACGGAAAAGTAATTGAAAAAATATTTGAAGGTGCAGAAATGAATAGATTAACATTAGAAATTGAAGAAAAAGAAGAATCTGAATACTACATGGCATGGAATTTGTTTTACCAATGGGTAGAAAAATAAACTAAACTAAAAGGAACTAGATGCATTTATAAAGCAATAATTGACTGTTTCCTAGTATGATTTGATTGCTTATTGTACCCTACGACTATTATTAAGTGTTGTACCTGATGATTCTTGACTCTTGACGAATGTATCTTTTCTTTTATGTACACTGAGAGCATTTGCACCAAGACAAATTCCTTGTGTGTCCAATCACACTTGGCCAATAAAAGAATTCTATAAGAGAAACTAGTGTAATAGATATATTGGATATCATTTATATTATATATATATATGGGAATGTGATTATTGTTATATTGATATATTGATAAAAAGAATATTATTACTAATTGTTAAGCAATTGAAATATGTACCTAATCGGCACACGATTGAAATGGAATGGATTTATTGTATATAAAAATAAAAAATTAATTTAAAAAAACAACACAAGACCCACCAGAAGAGAAGACCCTTGATGCGACTCAAACCTACCCATCAGAAATCCCATGGTAAGACCCTCGCCCTCATGTGACCTCCCAATCACAAGACCTACTGATCACACAAAGCTCTTACAAGCAGAAGAACACCAAGACTAACCTCCCCTAAGCTCCACTGAAGATGCTACCTAGGCTGGTAACAAAATGAAACCCTCCACCCTCAATAAATCAATATCGCTGAACCTGCATGTGCGGACCTGAATTTTCATCATCATTTTGACTAGTCTTTCCCTGGTGGTCACGCATCTTCTGAACCTTGGTCCTAGTCCAGTTTCACTTTACAAAGACTTCACCTTGATCAGAGGCTACTGGAGCCAGAGACTGACCCAAGAGGGGCTACGGGCACCTTGGACTATCTCGTCGGTTATGTTCAAAATAACAAAATTTCTGAATTACCTTGCTGGCACGATATTGGTACAATGGAGGAAATTCTATTTCAGTTTTAAAACCCTGCCCAATGGAGCTAATGAGAGAAGATATGTTGACCACAACTGCCGTGTGGCCTCCCATGTTTTCTTTTGTGGTCTCCTTGGCAACCTTCTTCAGGAGAGGCAGGAATTCCTAAAACAGTTAGGAAACAGTAGAGCGAAATGTTACATTTCTCTTCTTCCTGGGTCTCACTGAGATCCTTGTTTTATTCTCACTGGCTTTTTTGATTTCCCAAGTCATGGCTTTTTCTTGGTGCCATTTCTAATCCCATTGGGTCATGGTGGACCTTCTACCTATGCAGCCCCCAGGCCCCTACACCAAACTTACCTTGACAACAAGGAGAGGTCCCACTGTATTGATCTTGTATGACAACAACATATCTTCCTGATCAACGTTTTCCAGAAAAAAGGCTTGGGAATTTCTGCCAGCGTTGTTGATTAGCAGATTGAGCCCTTGTCCTTTCAGATGGGATTCCACTTCTGATGCAGCCTGCTTTATACTGGAAAGGTCTGTCACATCTACCACAAACAGAAGGAAGCTAACAGGGCAGGTATCAGTAAAAATGACTTGGTTCCTAGTTTGATGCATGCAGGTAACGTGTAATGGAAAAGAAAAGACTTTTGGAGACAGGGGGGAAAACCCTGCGGCCTAGATAGTGATCTCAGAAATGAAATTTGCCCACCTAGCAGTTGGAAAGCATGCAAATAGATAAATAGGCACAGGGATGGGATTCAAATTTTTTAGCAACCAGTTATGTGGGTGTGGCTAGGTGGGCATGGCCATGTGACTTCTTCTTTTTTTGCAGCACCCCCCTGCACTCCATTTTTGGGCATCCTGAGCCTCAGGGAAGCCTTCTAGGGAAGCATTTTTGCTCCCAGGATGCTTCCCTGGGGCCCAGGAAGGCAAAAAATGGAGCACAGGAGTGTGTGTGGGCAGGGGGTCCTCCTGGGCCTCAGGGAAGCCTCCGGGGGAGCATTGGTAGGGTAGGGTAGGGAAGAGTAGGGTAGGGTATAGTAGAGTATAGTAGAGTAGAGTAGAGTAGAGTAGAGTAGAGTAGAGTAGAGTAGAGTAGAGTAGAGTAGTAGAGTAAAATAGAGTAGAAGAGTAGAAGAGAAGAATAGAATAGGAGTAGACTGGAACCATGATAACAGAACAGAATAATTTGGCCAAGTGTGATTAGACACACAAGGAATTTGTCTCTGGTGCAGAAGGTCTCAACGTACATGCAAAGCAACAGAGTAATAATAATCATAATATGATGCCAGTAAGAGATGGAAGTAAAGAAGGTGAAAGAATAATAATAATTCTACAACCATACAACATGGGTAAGTATCCTTAGACATAAGACAATACTGTAGGAAAAAAACTGTCCCTGTGTCTAGTTGTTTTGGCATGGAATGATATTTAGTGGCATCCAGAGGGGAGCAGTTGAAAATGTCCAGGATGTGAGGGGTCAGTAGATATTTTCTCAGCCCTCTTTCTGACCCCTGCTGTATATAGGTCCTCAATGGAAGGCAGGCAGATGGTATTTTCTGCAGTTCTAACTATCCATTGGAATATCTGCTCTGTTTGGTTGCTGTACCAAGTCGGACATTTTTTGTGAGATAGTATAGACAAAAAGCACAACAGGACAACAGGCAATCCTCAACTTTTTAACTGCAATTGACCCCAACATTTCCATGGCTAAGCCAGACAGTTGTTAAGGGAAGTTAGCCCCGTTTTACAACCTTTCTTGCCGCAGCTGTTAAGTGAATCACTAAAACTGTTAAGTTTGGAACAGTTCTTAAATGAACCTGGTTTCCCCATTGACTTTGCTTGTCAGAAAGTCAAAAAAAAGTGATCCCATGACCCTGGCACACTGCAACCGTCATAAATACATGCCAGTTGCCAAGTGTCCGAATTTTGATCACATGACTGACTGAGAGGATGCTGCCATGGTTGTAAGTGTGAAAACGGTCATGTCATAAGAGGATTAGCCGTAGTGGTGCTATCTACTGTAAGGCTATATTAACAGAATCTTGGAAATGTGGAATTACCCCTCCCATAAATGCTAGACAAGGAGAAATCTTAGGAAGATTTGCTCCGTTTAAAAAATCGTTCACCTGTTCAACTGATAGGACTACATTTGTTACTAGAGAAACGAGCATTAAAAAATCCCCAAACTGACAATTACACTTGACTTTTTATATACTCATGCAATTTATGATGATAGATATGGTCATGTTTCGTGGCTTTCATTATAATTACCCAGAGAGTAAACATCCCATACCTAACTGAACCACGTGAATGTTGTCATGCTGACTAGCAAAATTCTGCAAAGCCTGCAATTGAGAAAGGAAATGGTAAAAAGAACAGGTCGAATAAATAAAATATAAAAAAGCATCTTCTGCAATCTCAGTTCCAATATAGCAGGTTTCCTTTTTATAGCCTTTAAATTCCTTTTATTTGGGTTGTAGTCAGAGAGACTGAGTAGAGCTAAGCATTTACTGGCTGCATGCCCTTTTCTGATGCCTACACTGAGTTCACAACAAATATTTTAGCTTTCTGCCCTGATATCTGACATCTGCTGCAGGGATTGAACTCTCAACCTTCCGAGTGGGAGGCAAGCATCTTCACCTCTAACCCACCACACCATTCTTCAATTCCTTTATAACAGAATATCTCAATGGATTTGTTTTTATCAGCAGCTATTATAATTTGCAGACTGTATTTTCTTAACTAGAACTAGCTGTTCATATATCTTTTTTTTGTTTGTTTATATGATCATGTTGGTATCGTTGTTCTTTGTGTTAAATTCATTTAAAACAATCCGGGTGGTGCATAAACCAGGTGAGATTTCTGGTTTGGTATGTCTTAGCATGACATACCCAAGTCACGTTGCATGACTCAGTGGATTGTGATTCAAAAAATCCTGGCTTATCTTTTGTCTCAAATGCCTCAGTTCATTGATGCCTGCAGTGGAAGCCCACATCAGTACATTGCCCCAGCTCGTATCTTAAAGATGTTGAATGACGGTTGATCTTCTACATACCTTTGATTCAGGTCCACGAGGGTTCATACAAGTTGCAAAAATATGGCCTGGAAAAGGATTCGTTTTCACCAGCTCTTTCACCAGTCCAAATCCAATTCCCTGGTTGGTGCCTGTCACCAGGATATTCTGACCTATTTGAAACATCCTGACCCTTGACTTTTGCTCTTCAACCCTGTTCACCTTTGGGCAGGTGGTGACACCTGCATCTCCGAATAAAAAGAGGTTACCGTGATTAGACTAGCCTGAAGTGGGTTCTCTTGGAAGTATAAATACAATAACAGATAATCCTTGACTTACAACTGGAATTGGAACCAGAATTTCCATTGCTAAGCAAGGCGGTTGTTAAAGAGAGTCGCTCCTGGTTGTATGGCCTTTTGTGCCATGGTTGTTAAATGAATCACATAGTCATTAAGGGAATCTGGCTTCCTCCGTTGACTTTGTCAGAAGCTGGTTGGGAAGGTCTAAAAATGGCCATCACGTGACTCTGGGTGGCTGCAACTATCGTCAGTTGTACAAAAGCCCAAATTTTGATCATGTGATCATGCTGTGACAGTCATTAAGTGTGAGGACCAGTTTCCTGTGGCACAAAACCATTAAGGAGCGAAGAACATGGTGACTGCATGCTGTACATTTTATTTGTTGTGTATGGCTATGTAACCATTTCTGCTACCGATCTGTAGGGCAATATAATAATCCTCCACTATCCTTTTTACAGAATAAAGCAGAATTTCTAACACATACGTTACGTACTGTATCTATAGGCTTCATTGTTGTGGATTCACGGGTGTGTATGCTCTTCCTGTCTATGTTTGAAAGCTACACCAAGACATAACTAGGATTAAATTAAGCTAAACCTAGGACATGTATGTGTCCTTGTATAAGAATGTTTACAGGATTTGGGTTTGACTAGTCTAGAGAAAACAAGGACTCGGGGTGACATGATGGCAGTATTCCAGTATTTGAGGGGCTGCCACAAAGAAAAGGGGGGATCTATTTTCCAAAACATCAGAGGGGTGGACAAGAAACAATGGTTGGAAAGTAATCAAAGAGAGAAGCAACCTTGAATTAAGGAGAAACTTCCTAACAGTGAAGACAATTAACCAGTGGGACAGCTTGCCTTCGGAAGTTGTGGTGCTCCATCACTGGAGATCTTTAAGAAGAGACTGGACAGTCACTTGTCTAAAATGGTAGCAAAGAGTTGGATTAGAAGGCCTCCAACATCCCTTCCAGCTCTATTCTGAATTACCTGTATACATATAATATTTCTATCATTACTCACGGCTTAGACTGTGTAGTAAAAGCAGATTAGAAAGTTCCTGCAGAGTCACAAACTTTAAGATTGGCTTTGCTATTCCTTATCTAATCAGGCTATCTTCCAGGTATCTTACCTGAAGCAAATGGAAGAGTTCCAAAGAGATTGTCCTGGGCAATTTAGATCAAGGGAGAGAAAGAGTTTTATTTCTTGCGATCTATGACTGTTCTACACCCCACCAAAGCAGTATTGTATAACACTTTCCACCTCCTTTCCCTAGCACCATCTCTGTGTTTCTGTTCTCCACTTCATCTAAAATTATGCCTTTCATACCCAAAACTATTTCAGCAGCTGTAAGAACAAAGATAGCTTCCTCACTGACTGCATGACTATTATGACATCATTTCTCTGTTCCTAAGGTTATGATTGCCTGCACTTTCATTCACTGGACCTCTGTTGATTTTGTGAGGTATTCATATATATTGCTGGTCCATAGATGATGTGCCATACGCTACATAAATAAATGTTGACTTTACCATCAAATGGAAAATTTGGATATTTTTATGATGCTTACTGAACTGCACCTGTGGGCAAGGTCATGAATACGGGTGGAAGCTTAACAACGAGAGATTACACTGTCCACAAAAAATGTTGGTTGTTAAAGGGAAACTACAAATAAAACATATACAATAAAAAAAACAAAAACAAAGAGAGATCCTAAGGGAAATTTCCTGACAACAAGAGCAATTAATCAGTGGAACATCTTGCCTTCAGAAGTTGTGGGTTGTCAACACTGGACGCTTTTAGTACTGCCCTCTAACCACTGTGCCACCACAGTGTTGATTTTATCATGAAATGGAAAATTTGGAGACCTTTATGGTGGTTACTGAACTGTAGCTGAGGGCAAGACCAGCAACCATGGATGGAAGCTTAGCAAAGAGAGATCCTAAGGAGAAATTTCCTGACAGCGTGAGCAATTAATCAGTGGAACATCTTGCCCTTCAGAAGTTGTGGGTGCTCCAACACCGGAGCTGGCTGGGGAATTCTGGGTGTTGATGTCCATCCACCTTAAAGTGGCTTAGATTTCAAGACACCGTTCTATGGAAATAGTTACAACTAGAAAGACTGCAGGGTGTGATCAAAAAAAGTCCACATAGGACCATACAATTGAAGCTCCATCCATTTTTATATGAATTAGTACACCTAAAAAAAAAATTGAGCTTTGATCCTGTTAGAAATAAGAAAATTCAAAAATAAAATGTAGGTGAATAGAATAGTATATTATAATATTAAGAAGACAGTTGCTCTATAGACATTTACTATCTTGATGCAACCTGTAAATATATTTTCTAATACATTTACTCATTGTTAAACATGTACCTGCAATCTATTACATCCTCCTGTATCAAATAATGCCACCCCTATTTCCTCCAGGAATCGGTAGGTATCTCAAACTGTCAAGGCAATTCACATACACATTTGACATAACAAAAGAGCACTTAGGAGGATAATGTGAGAAGAAATAAACCATTGCCCTAACTTTCTTTAATCAAATGAAGTTAGATTTTGTTTTTCAAAACACCAGCTTACTTTTACTTTGCATAGATGTTACAAATGCATATAAGAAGAAGTGCTGAATGTAACAATATGTAACAAGTGTGGTGTTAGGAATAGATATTTCTTTGTTCTCAGACGGTTAGTAAAGGGGTCCTGCTGAAGGGACATTCTTTAATGCCAGGAAAGATAAGATGTGATGGGAGGTCATTGGGAGGTATCAAAGGAGATGATGTGGTCTCCATAAGGCGTCTCGGATTAGCTGTTCTTGGTCACTGGGTCGATGTAGGAGGGACATGGGGGAATGTCGGGATAGAAGAACTATAAAATGTAATGGATTGACATCTTAGGTGTGGGTCCTTGGCTCAAACTTCATGTTGAAGTCAGCTGAGATACCCCCCTCTTTGCAAACAGCTTAACAAAATAAAATCTCTGTGTTTTCACCGATCCAAGTTTTTTGTCATTTGGATTCATTTCCAACAATCCCACCCTATCAGGCAGCATCTTGGTTTGTTTGTTTTTAACCACATACAATTGGGCATCCTTGCTTAAGCTATTTTGCCTCGTTTAGCTGATTATCAGGACTTAGAGACCCTTAGTCCTATTTTTGTGTACAACATGCCACTTCAGAGCAGTTTTATGAAAATATTCATTCAATGTTTATGTGATCTTCAGAGGTGATTATCCCTCATAATTTCTATTATGGCTTTTCTTCTTATTTTATGCAATGGGGTGCTGTTTGTACCATGCTTGAAGAGTCCTACACACACACACAAATCCACATTCACGTATCACGGAGCAGAATGTTCCAGGAAGCAAAATTGTATTCAAAATATTCAAATGACTTATTTTTACACACACACATATAATAAATATATAATATAAATATATAAATATTTATAAATGCACCATTCTTTATATATGAATATATAAAGATGGTGCATTTTAAAGACGTAGTCCTTCCCCCATCATATATTACCCCATCCAACCAATCTCGAATTATTAACTATTCTCTGTAATTAGATCTTCCCTTCCACGCCTCCCGTGCCAGCCCCTTCTCTTAATGGCGGCCCCCTCGCCGCCTTCACGCCCTTCCCTGGCAGACCACGTGATCTCCGTTTTCGCAGCCATTGCATCAGCCGGCCCAAAGCATCAAATCTCAGCGTGCGGTGCGTAAATGACTTTCTTTTTTAAGATGATAGACAAGACTTGACACCAATCGCCACCCACCTTTCAGCCTCCAGGCCAATAGGACGCGCGAGCTAAAGAAAGGCCCGCCCTTTGACTCGGCTGCGTAGTGAGAGCGCCGCCGAAGCGACCTCGCGGGTTTGTGGGGAGCGGCGGACGAAGGTAGGTAGGCTGTTGGGGGGGGTGGTCGTGTGAACGGGAAGAAATGAAATAAACGCGTTTTTTCCACTCCGGCATCTCTTCTTGACTGTTTTCCAGGCTCAAAAGGCGGCGTCCTCCTCCTCCTCCTCGGTGGTTCTCTCCTCCTCCCCTCTTCCAGTTTACCCGGCACAACAACCCTGCAAGGTAGGCTGGGCGGAGAAAAACCGGCTCTGAGTCCTCAAGCGCGCAATAAACGGGGTGACGAGACGGGGTGCTTGTATGTTGTATGCATGTTGGACGATGGAGCCTCCTTTGCATTTTTGCCCCTTGGCTAAACTAGCTTCCCGCCTGTAAAAAGGATCTGGGCTTAGGTTGCTGGTTTGGGGTGGTCAGTTGCTTAAATACCCCATGCTGGGTGTGTGTGTGTGCATGTATGTCCAGCCTTGTGTGTCTACAGAGCTTCTCAATCCAGGTCACGGTTGTCCCAAAAGTTGTGCTTTTTCCCAAAAAGATAAAATTGGACTTTCTTGGGTTTTTTATTTATTTTGTCAAAAGCTTGCAATACAATAGAAATAAGAATAAGCATAAGTTTAAATATAAGAAATAGGAACTAATAATTGGGGACAATAGGAGCACAACATTGACCACTCTGTTGCTGAAATCATACTTCCAGCAATCAAATTTGTTTGTTTTTTCGCCCTCCTTTGAAAACATTTCACTTGTCATCCAAGAAGCTTCTTCGGTTCTTACTGACCGGTGGGGAATGGAAAGACTTGAGTGTCACACCCTCACATCCTGGACATAAACTGTTTCAACTCCTACCCTCAAAACGACGCTATAGGGCGCTGCACACAGAACAACTAGACACAAGGACAGTTTCCCCCCGAATGCCATCACTCTGCTAAACAAATAATTCCCTCAACACTGTCCCACTATTTACTAAGCGTGCATTACTATTACTATTAATCTTCTCATCACTCTTTATCACCCATCCTCTCCCACTTTTGAC